TTTTCTAAGATCCTCTCAAGTTCTTATTGCTGTCTTTTTGTTGTTATGTCTTCTCATTCTACTGTTACCTTTCAAACTAATAATGTATTGCGCTTTTCATATTCTTTTGATTGTAATTCTGCGAAGGCCTATTTCCGTTTGATATTACCCTTCCTCGTGTTACTTATATCATCTTCAGATAATAATATTTCCCCTTTCTCGTTAACTTGTTACCTCATTACATTTTGCATCAGGGAAGAAGGGGGTGCCATTATAAAAATAGTTTGGAACATTGATGTCAACCAATTGCTGTTTATTTGCATGAACAGATTAAGGGCGCATCCCTTACTTATAATTCAATCGAGATATATGACGCATGAAGTGGCATGCATTCAGTTAGTTTTAGAAGTACTTTATTCACATACATGTCCAATTTGTTGTAGTGTCCATGTGACAGATTAGTACATAAATACTTGGGACATTATTTGTATTGAATGTTGCTGCTTGCAATACTTGAGCTTGCCAGAACTCCAGGCTAATTCGATTCGATTCTAGTCCTTAATTGTTTCAATATTTATGTATGTAATCTATTTCTTGTAGTAGACAATAACGTTTCTACTACCATATTTATTACATTTGCCGAACACAATGTTTGAATTAAACTATTACTCTGAAATGACACAGAACTGTGCCAACATTTTTGTGTGACGAAAATGAGATAACTGGCTCATCCGTGTGGTTATTATATTCATGACTCTATGCCAATGTATTGTATTTCTGGCAGCATAAAAGAGAAATCTAAATATATGTAGAATTTGTTTGTGGTTATCTTTAATTTCAATGGTCTTTCTAAGATTGATTTCATAATACATGATTATAAACTTTCTTTGCACTTCACTATTCACTTAGTTAATTCATTTGTTTTCATTTACAATTTAGCGCAATATAGAATTTGACGAACGGTTTATAAACTCAATTTTACCTCCTAACACGCCGAGAGTTCAAGATTGGGTGAAGAAACTTGTGTACTATGGTTAAAGCTAAAAATATCACATTTCTTAATACTTAAAGTCAGTAAAAACACAAAAGTGAACCCAAACTACTAAAGGGTGTGTGCTAAAATACACGGGGTGTACATTTGAGTTTCTTGGCGTGAACTGTGCAGCGGAAGGGTCTAAACGAATGAGTACGTGCATTCCTCAAAAGTTTACACAAACTGGCGCCCAAAATAGCTGGTGACGCCATTGCAGTGCTTGACTTTGCATTTTTTTGAAGCCCAGTTAGAGTGTACCAGGAAGGATGGTGGAGAGAAAGTACACTTCTCCCCCGAGGAGGTTCTCCGTTTCTCTTTGCTGGGGATTGTTTTATCCCGTTTTCCGCTCTATCGTTGGAGAGCCGTGAAATATTCCCTGGTTGGATCAAAGTCTTGTCAAGATTCAAGATTGATTGAGTCGGGTTTTTGTTGCAACAAGGGACCACACTCCTTGTACTTCCCCGAGATCTAGTACGGACCCTATTCACATATTGGGATAAGAGCGCGCGTGAGAAACAGAGAAGATGGGGTCTAGTGGGACACAGCGCCAGCATTCACGAACACCACACATGCACGCACACACACACACCCCACACGCGCGGCTGAACACACGCACATACACCCTTTTTGTACGTGCACGCGCTTTTGTTTATGTTTTATTTTATGTCAGACTTCTGAGCGCTGTCGAAATAAACGCGTACCTGGACCTGGACTATCCATGGGAAGTAGGCAGGCGGAACGGTCCAGCGGAGCGATTACATTAAGTTTATTTTTCGAGTGTGAATAGAATCAAAGTTGTCCAGTTGTCAGTATCCCCTCCTTCACCTATACACTCTCCGTTCCCCTTCCTGCTATTTGAGCAATCCCCCTTCTTGTCATTGTGACCTACAAAGTATTCCCGCTCTGGACAAATCCCCATTTTCCCCTTTTGCTTTGTTCTTCCGAATCTAAACTAATATGCCGGTGCAGCACGAATGTGTTCAATTTCAAACTGTCATAATCTTGCCGATGGGCATTCATGATTTGCTCTTGATATCATTATGCTTATCCTTTAGCGCTACATGTTCACTCTTTGAAATCGTGATATTTCCATTGTTGTAACTATTTCATCAGCGCGAAAGATTAGAAAGCTGATATAGATGTGAGGTATTGGGTGCGGATTTATGGAATCAAAACGAACTGACAGTGAGCCTCTTTATGTATAACATGCAAACCAAAGGCTCATCGTCTGCTTCTTTTCAATAATTTCACCCATTTATTATTAGAAGCTACAATTATGATAGATGCAACTGACGAAAGCTACAGCCTGTCTTATAGGAACCCTTACTATTCCCCTTTCCCTTTCTCTCTTTCTTTCTTCTTCTTCTTCTGTTTCTTCTTCTGCTTCTTCTTCTTCTTTCTTCTTTTTCTTCTTCCTCTCCCTTTCCCCTCCCCTCTCCCTCCCCTCTTTCTATCCCTCTCTGTTCTATTTTACCCCTGTCTCTCCACCCATTTCTGTCTTTCTCTTTTCCCTTCCTGTCTGTCTTAATTATTGATGGCCCTCTCTTCCTTTTTATCTCTTTCCCTCTCGATGAACCTTTCATTACCGTCAGTTGTTGACAAACATCGTAAGGGTGTATATATAAACAACAATTGCTGTTGTGCCCGCGATGGTTTGAGGTAATCGACAGGATGATACAATTATGAGCAGACTCATTTCATGTGATATAGAAAGAAATTATCTAGAAACCCATACCCTTAATCATACCAGGGATATTTGATCATACTTGTCGTCATCCATATCGAAAACGTGAGATCTAGGAGGACATAGCATATAGTCGGGCTAGTAGGACGAAAGACGGAACTTAATGTCTCAGTGGTCCCATGTATCTTTGGCATGATGATGTAGACCCCAATCCTAACCCTAATCAAACCATACTATGACATAGGACCAACTATACCATAATACAGAACAGAAAAGCTACCGGTAAAATTAAAACTTACAGACTCATTCCTTTGATTTTTGTTCCTCGCGAAATGTTCATTCACTGACCAATACTGTAAACTTTTTGTGACGTCATCTTTGGATGTGGACAGCAAATCTGTTGCTTTGTGATGGAACACAGCTGGTCAAACTTGGCCAGGTGTCAATTTCCAAGAGAAAACCCGATGTTGAGCTAAACATTGAAAGACTTTACTTTTTATTGTTTTAATGAGGCATCTTGAAGGTGAAGGGAAATTGAACATGGGTGGTTAAAATTTCGCTTGATTTTAGCGACAAGTTCAAGGTTTAATTTTCCCGGAAAAATAAGACGCCATAATGTAATAACAACTTTCCCTGAAAGCTCTTTTCTGAAGCGGAATTGTGTGGTTAAGGTCGAGGCAAGTTGGGGTGATCTAAGGACCGCAACATCTCGGGGGAGTTGATGTTCTTACGTTTGTTATTTGAAAATGATTGATTGTGGAAGTATTATTATTTTATTTCGAAGGAAGCTGTAGGAAAATAAACGGGAGATAGGCGTCTTGCTCAGGTCAGGTGCAGGAGTATTTTGTATTCATATATTTCCCAAATACTGTGCCAATTTTATAATGATTCTGGGAAAATGTAAAATATGTGTCGATCTATTTAGTGGCATTATTTTATTATCAAAAAGCATATCAAAAAAATATTCAGTGCCAAAACACTTAGTAATGAAGTGTATTGTAACAGGCTGTGATAAAAATGAAAATTATACCATAGTGATGACATAGATCAAAAGATGAATGATAGTGGAATTTATAATACGCTTCACAATATCAATTATCTTATCTGCATGAACAAAGCTATGCGGAAAAAAAACTGTAAAAAACTGAAAAAAGGTGTATCGGACTGGTTGGTCCTATTATAGGTTCTTTTTTCCAATAATTGATGTCGATTTAAAAAAAAAAATCATTCAGGTCATTTGAAAATTTTGAAAAGTAAACTAAATTTAAATTTGTTTGAATGGCCAATCGACACACATTAGCAGTTTTACGTCTTTATTGGGCCATCACCTCTGTTTCCTTGAAAGCAATGACGTTCGACCAGTCTATCTAGTTATATTCCTTTTATGGTTTATATAAATATTCGAGGATGATACGTCACCCTTCAACCACCCCCTCCTGAGCAACACACCTGTTATCACCCCTGGCAACCATAGTTTACGTGAGACGCAGCTTGTGTTCATAATTATTTTGGATGTCTTGTTGCAAACTTGTCGCAAACCTGTCGCTATGGATGCGTCATTGATGTCTTGAGAGGGACAAGGCAAGATACACGATTGGTCATTCAGAGTTTTACGGTCAACCCCTCACAATCCCAAGGAAAATCTGTACATGGTTCCGGTTGTTCAATGCATTTTCCTTCCCTAGTGACTGTCCCTTAAAAAACATTGCATGTAGGCCTGTTTACAGTGCGATATAACCTAAAATAAATGTGTCATATTAATTTGATCAGAAGGATGATTTCCGCAAGTCTTAGTGTTTATATCTGACTCATATATTTTTCTTCGAATTTATGCAATAATTGCGCAAAGTTTATTAGACCTTTTCGTTTATTGGGCATTATAATACGAGACCCGTTTTGTTGACCATGTTGACAGGCACAATATCGACCATTGACAATTTCAATGTTGTGATTAAACTCGCTCCTTTTCTCGACATGTGTTAACTTTTTAATTCATTATGTGCTTAAATTATACCTTTAATTGCAATTTTATGATTCGATACAATTTATCCCGCCCGCTTACAATGAAAAGAATACAAACTTGAACCGGTCGCTTACAAATGCAGAAACAACACTTTTTACCAGCAACACTACAAAAACAAAAACACTCGAACACACACACACACAAACTTAATTACAACAAAATGTGGGGAAAATAAACGACTTCTGTGTAATGAATTTTAACTATATATTTGACACCCTCTTTCTCTCTCTCTCTCTCTCTCTCTCCCCCTCTCTCTCCCCTCTCTCTTTCACTCTCTCCAGGTCTTCCTCAAGTACTGGCACACGGAGAAGTTAGACACTCGAATGGATCAACTCCGAGCTCAGGTAGTCACGTGTCAACGCGTTGTTAGGGGGCGTGCCGCTCGCCTTCGTTTCACCATTCTTCGAGAACGAATACACCGGGACCTGGCCGATACGGCGTCATTCTTCAACGAGATTGAGAGAAGATCGGATCGCAGTTACGCAGCCATGGTCAAGTTGGATAGACAAGATAAGGAGCGGTTCGACCAAAAGAAAAGACAGGTAAGTCTTTTTCTTTTCTTTTTAAATTATAATCATCACAGTTTGTTTGTACGTGTCCTCCTTTAATGCTTCGATCTCTTTCCACGAGAATTCCTTTTCATCTTGATGTTTTCATTTAGCTATTGCTGTTGCCATGTATGTGATATTGTTAATCCCATATCATCAATGCGTGGTCAGTATTTGATATTTGAGAACCATTTATATGTCTTTAAGGATTTTCATGATGTCACAAGGTGCCTACATGGCCCTTTGTTATCGTTATGTCTTTCTTTCAGTCGTCATACTGAGGTATGATATTGCCATCACCTCATTAAAGAAGCGCTGGATTTGATTTTTGTGAGAAAAAGTGCGCATATTTTCTTCCTCGCAAATTTGACCACAACGATTAACGTGCAAAATTGCATGACTAAATGCATAATTATGACAACTTGGTTTTGCTTTTTGTGACTTGATCATGCCACCAAATGCCTTGAAAATGTCATTAAATGCGATTGCATAGTTATTGCTGGTATAATATATTATAATATATAAGTTTTTTTGAGCTATGAGAATGAACCGAATTCATACCACGTTTTACTTATTTTAGATTAAACGAGATGCAAAGATCTTTCTCATATTATTGTCATTAAATCCCTTTATTTGTTAAATACTTTATAAACACGACTGCCAGAATATAGCCTGTTTATAAACATATTGGGTGATGTAACGCGTATCAAGCACACCGATAATGCATTTTTGGCCCTTTCGTCTCGATATTGACGATGAAATTAACTACAAGTATACATGTATTTCCATTGTTTCTTTTTTCCTTAATAGATGTCTTTAAATATATATGACTGTCGGGTTACCTGTAAAATCACAGGGCATGGGGGTTGTGAATTATTGATGAGCACATTAAAAATACGCGTTTATCATCTCCGCTCTCCCTTTAGTAAAGATAAAGACATGTTAAGAGTCTCTTTTGAATAATATTACTGTTTTTAACTGTATTTAAAACATGTCTGTAAATATACACGATTGGCGGGCGGGTCGCCGGTGTTAAAACATGAATACCATACGGAATGATTGTCCTTTTTTTATTTTCTCATCAATTAATCATAAACAATGAATGGAGTTGTATAGAGCTCATATAGTTCCATAAGATTCGAGGAGTTATATTTTGTACATTTTTTCCAGGATTTAAAAAGAGTTTAGACAATAGCAAAATCCATCCCTGCTCGTGTGTTAATATTTATCACTTGCTCTTTGTTTTGTTTTTGCCCAGTAGTCAAGGCTTTCTTTTGTTGTTAATTCTGCGTTTAAGTGTCAGATAATTATCATGCCGATGACTTAGTCCCACGCAGGGGTTCTCGCGCAGGATTCCCCTAACAGGTTTATGCGTGGGACCGTAGAGTATTATAGTCAAAGCATGAAGAAATCTCGGATGAATCACGCATCTGGCACCCACGTATTCCGGCTTCCCCTATAAGACGGCTGAAGTGACGTTATTAAAGGCATCGCTTGTCATATTCTATGGTGGCCCTGAAGGGACATCGCGAATAGACTAAATCGTGAAAAATATGCGATAAAATTCACGATATCGTCAATTTTATCGCATATTTTTCACGAAGAAATTCACGAAATTGACGATATCGTGAACTTTATCGTGAACTTTTCACGATGAAATTGACGATATCGTGAATTTTATCGTGAAAAGTTCACGATATAAAGTTCACGATATCGTCAATTTTATCGTGTACTCTATCGTGTACTCTATCGTGTACTCTCCTGACGGGCGCTTCGTAAACAAAACCAGCCCTAGCTGGGGGAGACAGAGAGAAGGAAAAAAGGGAAAGGGAAAGAGAAGATAAAAGGAAAGAATAATAAGAAGAAAAGAGGGAAACGGGGGGGGGGGGCGAAGGGCTCTTGCCTCCTCCTCACTCCCCCCCCCGCCAAAAAATAAATAAGGAGAGAGAGAAGGGAAAGGGAAAGGGAAAGAAAATATAAAAGGAAAGAAAGAAGAGGAAGAAGGAAAGAGGGAAACGGGGGAAGGGCGAAAGGCTCTTACCCCCCCCCCCCGCCAAAAAAATAAATAAGAGAGCTAGAGAGAGAGAGAGAGAGAGAAGGGAAAGAGAAAGAAAGAAGAGGAATAAGAGGGAAACAGGGAAGGGCGAAGGGCTCTTGCCTCCTCCCCCCCCCCCGCCAAAAATAAATAAGAGAGAGAAGGGAAAGGGAAAGAAAATATAAAAGGAAAGAAAGAAGAGGAATAAGAAGGAAAGAGGGAAACGGGGGAAGGGCGAAGGGCTCTTGCCTCCTCCCTCCCCACCCCCGCCAAAAAAATAAATAAGAGATAGAGAGAGAAGGGAAAGGGAAAGGGAAAGAGAAGATAAAAGGAAAGAAAGAAGAGGAAGAAGAAGAAGAAAAGAGGGAAACGGGGGCGAAGGGCTTTTGCATCCCCCCGCCCAAAAAATAAATAAGAGAGAGAGAGAGAGAAGGGAAAGGGAAAGAGAATAAAAAAGGAAAGGAAGAAGAATAAGAAGAAAAGAGGGGCTCTTGCCTCCTCTCCCCCTCCCGCGCCAACAAATAAATAGGAGAGAGAGAGAGAGAGATAGAGAGAAGGGAAAGGGAAAGGGAAAGAAAATATAAAAGGAAAGAAAGAAGAGGAAAAAGAATAAGAAAAGAGGGAAACAGGGGCGAAGGGCTCTTGCCTCCTTTCTTTCCTATTCCCTCTTTTTCGTTTTTCTCTTTCTTTCTTCTCTTTCCCTTTCCTTCTCTCTCTCTCTCTTATTTATTTTTTGGCGGGGGGCGGGGGGACGAGGCAAAAGCCCTTTGCCCCCGTTTCCCTCTTTTCTTCTTCTTCCTCTTCTTTCTTTCCTTTTATCTTCTCTTTCCCTTTCCCTTTCCCTTCTCTCTCTCTCTCTGATTTATTTTTTGGCGGGGGGGGGGGCAAGAGTCCTTCGCCCTTCCCCCGTTTTCCTCTTTTCTTCTTCTTCCTCTTCTTTCTTTCCTTTTATCTTCTCTTTCCCTTTCCCTTTCCCTTCTCTCTCTCTCTCTGATTTTTTTTTTGGCGGGGAGGGGGGGGGGAGTGAGGAGGAGGCAAGAGCCCTTCGCCCCCCCCCCCCCGTTTCCCTCTTTTCTTCTTATTATTCTTTCTTTCCTTTTATCTTCTCTTTCCCTTTCCCTTTTTTCCTTCTCTCTGTCTCCCCCAGCTAGGGCTGGTTTTGTTTACGAAGCGCCCGTCAGGAGAGTACACGATAGAGTACACGATAGAGTACACGATAGAGTACACGATAAAATTGACGATATCGTGAACTTTATATCGTGAACTTTTCACGATAAAATTCACGATATCGTCAATTTCATCGTGAAAAGTTCACGATAAAGTTCACGATATCGTCAATTTCGTGAATTTCTTCGTGAAAAATATGCGATAAAATTGACGATATCGTGAATTTTATCGCATATTTTTCACGATTTAGTCTATTCGCGATGTCCCTTCAGGGCCACCATAATATTCAGAGTCCCAAAGTGAGACAAGTTTTTTTGGGAAAATTCAGTACATCCAGCGGAATTTACAGAGCTTAAGGACGTCGGTTCGTGGGAGGGGAGGGGTGAGTGTGGGTGTGGGTGTCGGTGGGCGGCGTCAATAGAGGGTATAACGCGTTCCATGGTGATTTAATTATTAAATGGCATTTAATTATTAAATTATTGGGGGTAGAAAACTGCTTCCCATCTTGCACCGAAAGAAATGGTAACGAAGTCCAACTTTCATTCATAAACGTTTTCTTTAAAAGATTGCTGATCAGGGAAAATCTGAGCTAAGCAGATGAACCGTAGAGATGTCAAGTTTCCTTATTTCCTGAAACTTCTTGAACTTGAAATTCATAAAAATAATTATTGATGCTCTAAGATCGAAGTAAATATTACTCCTACAATTAGGGCCAATAAGATTGCACTTGCTGTCAAACTTACTGATTGTCATCAGATAGTGATATTCAAGTAACCATAGCAGTAACATCTTTAAAATATTGACTGCATTTCGAAGGGCTCTTTGATTTCCTCCAGCTCTTGAGAGCGAGGCAAGCAGGTCGAGAGAAGACGGAAATAGAGTGAAAGGGATGATTTATTAGAGGTTATGAGATTAAACAGATATTTAAGTAGCCGAAAAGATTGGGAAAGTCCTTGGAAAGAATGAAAAGAAGTAACCATTCCTTTTCATTTTAATAAAATGATAGTTTTAAGGCCTCATGAGTCAGATTTTGATGGGAATATGTTTGTTATACATAAGCCATGTAGACAAGCCGACGCGACGTTTAGAAAGTTAATCATAGGATTTGAACAAATTTTGAGGCGTAGGCTTAGCATGGTTTGAAAAGCAATGATTTTTTGTTTAAAAAAACACAGGCCTTTGGTTTTTTAAAGAATATTGGTAGATGATACTGGTTTTAAAATTGAAATAATTGTACAATTGAATTTCGTAATCGTGGTTTTAGCTATATTTAATTTCAATTTTTAATTAAAAAAAAAATCAATAATCAGTGATCTCATGAAAAGGCGTCGGAAGAACAAAATGAGTTTACTTTACATGAGTAATTTATTTAAGAGTTCTGTACATTCCAGCCTTTCTAAAACATATCACTTACTTTTTTGTTGATTTCTTATCTAAGTTAAATTAGATCATTTGTAAAATCCTTGATGGAAATAAATTGAATTTCAGAATAAGGGCTTGCCATTCGTTTTTTTTTGACGAACTTCCTTTCAATATTAGATTGTAGAAACTCATGTCCACGCGCACCCGACTAGCTGCTTAGGTTAACATAGCAAAAAGATAAATGTGTATCTCAAATCAGGCTTAAATCTTACATCGCATGTAGATAGCTTGCAATGCAATGACATGCCCATGCTGTGCCTTTCCTTGCACAGTTAATTCAATATCCTAGAGAAAATTCGCTTAAAGGTAGTGGAAATGAGGAAATTCAAAAGCAAATAAAAGTCAAAGGTAGAATTGGCATGCCTTACGT